TTTAATTCATCATTGTAGTTTTTGTTTACACACTTTAGTTTGGTATTAATTTAATTTACCACTCCTTGATTCTATTACATGTTTTTAGGTTTAATTTAGTTTAGTTGAAGTTTGATTTTTTTAATTTGCATGTTAGAGATTAATTAAGGTTAGTTAAGTTAAGATAAGTTTAATTTGTTTTGGTTGCATACTGTTAGGTTTAATCAATAATCTAATGGATTTAATTAAGCTAGTAAGCTTTAGTTTAGTAATCTTGCATGTTAAATAGTTGAATAGGTTTCTAGGTTTAAAGTTTTAAGTTAAATTTAATTAATAACAATTGCATGTTTTAGGATTTAATCAGTTTTATTTTGCTTTTACTGCAAGAGATTTCTTGAGTTTATGCTTATTTTAGGTTTAACTAGTTAAATTGCATAAGTTTAAATAAGTTAAATTTAGTTTTGTGTTAATTCCTCTTTGCTTATTCAATTCTTGTTTAATTTGTTCTATTTGCATGTTTAATTGTTTATTTAAGTTGCTGCATAGTTAATTCATAAGTTTTAGTTCTTTGATTTTAGTGAAAACCATAGTTTGCATATTTAGGTTTCTGTTTAGAATTAATACAAGTTTAAATTGATTTTGCATACTTAGCTTTTAATTTTGAACTTGCTGCTAAGTTGGTTTAGTTTAATTTAAGTTATTTGCATCTTAATTCATTTAATTACTTGCTATTTCCATTAGTTTAGGTTTAAATTCATATTAGCTTATTGTTGTTGCATGTTATAAGTTTAATTGCATTGTTTAGATTTTGTTTTGATTATTTAATAAGTTATTGCATCTCTATTCTCAATTCTCTAAATGTAAGAAAGGTGAGCCAATTTCAATACTTGAATCACTTTTTTTCAATCTCTGTGGGAACGATCTTAACTTACTACTTATTTGTGTGCTTGTAAAATCTCAATCATTTATAATAATTTTGGTCAATTTATGGTAAAAGTGGCATTTTCATAATTATATTAAGAGAAAAATTACTGTAATTATGGCCAACCATTGTAAGAAGGTATTTTCGTAATTATGGTAGGAGGGATATTATAGTAATTTTAATCAATTATGTTAGACAAGGTTATTTCTGTAATTATGGTTGGAAAACATTATATTTTTTTTAGCTAATTATAGAAGGAGGGGCATTATAGTACATTTGAACATGAATTAGCTACTAATCAATTAATTAGAGGGGTATTTTAGTAATTTTCCTATAAAAGTACTTTTAATATATTGTATAGATATATTTTATTATAGTAATTTAATATATAGCTAACTTTTATGTAATTTCCAAGAAACAATGGTAAGGGTATTTAGTAATTTAATATGTAGTTAGTTGTATATTGTAATCAAAATTTAATATGTAATTTAATAAGAGTATTATAGTAAATTTCAAATAAAATGTCACTTGTCATTTCATAATTATGGTAAGTGGACTATTATAGTAATTTTAGAAGCAATATTTTCGTAATTATTGTATAACATGTATTATAGTAATGTCGACTAATTAGGTAAGAGGGACATTATAGTGATTTTAGCTGATTATGGGAGCAGGGGTATTATTGCACTTTTGGACATGTATCAAACAATTATCAAATAATTGGAAGGCAACGTAGTAATTTCCAAGGGGATAACTTTTAATTATAATTGATCAATTATAGTAAGAGAGGTATTTTTATAATTATAGTAGGAAAGGTATTATAGCCATTTTAATCAATACGGGAGCATAGGTGTCATTGTACTTTTAGACTTTTTTATATGATAAAAAATTAGAGGATAGTATAATAAATTTCAAGGGAATTGTTTTAATTATATATTATAGATATTGATTTTACAACATAAATATATACATAATTTACTACTATACATTCATTTATATTGAGCGATATAAATTTTTTGCAACTTTTAAATTTATCTATCTTATAATTAATCGATATTTAATATTTAAATAGCTCTGAATTGACATGACATAAGAATCATTCATTCTGCTTTCTTTTAACAAATTTTCTCTCTATTTTGTTTTTTATCTTTTAGCAAATTACAGTAAACTAAACCAATACATTTAAACTATATTTGATGCATGAGATGATAAATAAGATAAAATTAAAAATAATTATCTTATATCATGTTTGATTTGTATTTAAAAGAAAAATGATAGGATTAAAAGAATGATTAATAATCTTCTTAACATAAGATGATACGATCATCTCAAAGTGAAAAGAATTGTTTTTAATTCATGGAATTTAACTTACATATCATATTATATCCTTAAAAATTACATTAATATTTAAATTTTATAAACTTTAAGAAATAATAATATTGATCAATAAATAAAATTATCATTCTAATCCTTGTATACAGTAAACATAAGATAAAATAAAATTATTTTATTTATAATATTATTTTATTTTATTTTATTTTAATCATGTGCATCAAACACATCCTTAGTTATAATTGTATATTTACACATAAAAATTTTATAGTTATGAAGGTACATGACATGACCTAACGAGTGTTTTCCTCCAATAGTTTATGCGAAAAAGTTTTGGTGCTATGGCAATTTTTGAAACCCAATACTTTTGCAGGGTACCCAAATATTACTTGGGGTATTGGCTAGCTGGCTCTGGTGTAGACTTGACAATTCATGTCATTGTGTCGTATTTTATGTCAAATACAATTTTAAATATGATACAAATAATCTTTATACAAATACGACATGAATATACGAATGACATGAACAACTTAAATATGAACATGACACGTTTATTATACATGTTACATGTGAAACGACACAATTAATACATTTTAAATTAATTTATACCCAACTAAAATAATACGATACGACACAATTAATACGATTATATATGAATAACACGATTAGATATGATTAATTACTCAAATAATATGATATGACATGACAAGATTAATGCGATTGTTTACAAATAACATGATTAGATATGATTAATCCATTTATTTAAACAAAAAATATCATTTAAATTAATATTTAAAAAAATTATTTAAAAATTAAATATTCATAATCTATTTAAACACCAAAATGATAAGATAAATATGATTATTAATTTATTTTTTAAACAAATTAAAATAAAATTTAAAATTTTTTATGTTATAAACAGTACTGTATCTTAAACGTATCATTACTAGTTGATACAAGCATGACATAAATAATGTGATGTCTTAATTGTGTCAACATGATTCAAATACGAAATACAATTATATTAAACCCATACATGATTTTTTCTTTGTCATTTTTATGCTATATCATCATGTCATATGTAAAATTATCAGATCTACTTTGATGAAAAGAAATGGATAATAAGAAAAAAAATTATATTTAATTATCTAGTTATAAAATAGTATATTTTATTATATATTCAATCATTAAATTAATTTTTTTATAAAACTGAGTTTTAATATGTTGCAGGTGCTCAAGACTATTCGGGCCACACAACTACATGATGAAATGTGATGTCATGGATTGAGTTACTCCTTGGTGGGTGATTTTTGCTTCTAAAGCATAAAAAAGTTTTTGAATTATTTTATTTTTAATAAATTTTTATATTTTTATTATATTTAAATACATTTTTATTTTTAAATTTTTATTTTAAATAAAAGATTAATTTATTTTAAGATTTTATTTAAATAAAAATTAAAGATTAAAAAGCTTATTTGAATATAAAATTAAAAATTATTTATTTATTTGGTTACAAATTAAAAATTAAAAACTCATTTAAATGTCATAAATGTACAAAAATTTATCTAAATAAAATAACAAAATTTAAGAAACTTTTTTTTATAATTTTAACTTTTTTTTTCTTAAAAAGCAAAAGAAAAAAAAAATTCCCTCCGTTTGCTTAAAAGGCTCTTTCCACCAAAAACAGCCCTTAAACTTCAGTTAGTGGTACATGAATGACTTGTCTATTGTGTCTTTTTAATATCAAAAGGAGACAAAGTGCATGATTGCATGATCTTTCCTATTATCGAAGGTAAATCTTTATACCAAACGAGGATCACATTGAATGGCCAAACAAAGAAAAGAGGATAACATTGTATTGCTAAGTCATCTTGTCGTCACAAGTTCTCTTGACATTTACTATTATATATTACTTACAAACTCAACAAAATTATTATTTTTTCCAAAGGACACAATTGAAATATTTAAAAATTTTCTTGTTTTTTCCCCAACATTGCCCTTATCATGAGGTCAAAATAATTGGAATGGGAAAGTTTTCCTTTAGCATAATTTTCTATATTTAAATTTTTTTAATTAAAATTTTAACGGGTTAATCTGCTATTACTTTTTGATGCACCCACTATATGGGTGAAAAAAAATTGGAAAAAAAGTTGCTTGAATATATGTGAAATAAAAAAATAAAAAAAACAAATATATTTTTATATATTTTATTATTTTATTTCAATATTTAAATAATTTCATTAATTAATTATGTTACTTGAATTGACTCGTGATATCCATTATATTAAAAATTTTAAGAATAAAATAGCAATATAAATTCTTGATAATTAATATGGGAATTTATATTATTTCATAGTAGTAACATGAGCAATTAAGGGAGGTTGAGGTATATATAGGGAAAGATCAACTTATATTAATATAAAATTTTTTTGTTTTAGACTTTTTCTCTAACTATCCAAGAGATAAAATTAAGTTCTTTTTTTGATTTATTTCTTTTATTCCTTTGATGTATTGAAATCAATTATTAAAAAAAGTGTAAAAAGAAGTAAAACTTTTTTTTTATATAACATGATCCCTCCCTTATATACATAATTTTAATTTCTAGTGATTACTTAATCAAAATAAAAAAAGGTACCTACTAGCTAGAGCAAGTCTTCGACTTTATAGATTGTAGATATAAATTAAGGCATGAATTATAGATAGGGAGATCAAGTGAATAGAAAAAGATGGGAAAAATGGATTAATGAATTAAATCAATGAAGTTTGTACTAGTTGAAAGAAATGATAATAATTAAATATCAAGCCAGCATAGCCTGGAGTTTCAATTTTGGTTAATTACGTTATTGGCCCCTAAAAAAGCAAAACATCATTTCAGGGCATCCCCAAACTATTTTCTCCATCAATTAGAGATTGAAGAAGAAAAAAAAAAGAAGAAAGAAATTAAGGGACGGGTTTCCATAACATAAGAATGATACATCAAAAAAAAAAGAAAGAAATTGTCTTTCTCAAGCGCTCCTACCATAGTGCAGAAGCATGAGATGATCCGCTGTTGACGTATCTGGAAGCAAAGTCACAGCTTCTCTTGAACTCCATATTTGATCTCTTACATGCTGCAACGTCAAGAAAGGTAGGAGCTGTTGCCCTCTACATGTTATCTCTACCTGCTTTTATCATCAATCCAAATTGTACATTACGTTCATGTTAGTGATTCAACAATGTAATTACAAAATAAATAAAAGGAATAACATAAATTTAAACAGATATAGGCATGAATAAGAAATAAAAAAATTCATATTAAATGTTGTCATACATCATGCATTTTTTTTTAAGTGATTAAGCAAATCAAATTTCAAACCTTAGGAAATCTATGCTTTCAAGTAAATTAATCTTCGCTATATGTTCTTTTTGCTGACAAAGTGACCCCAAAGTTCACTTGAAAGTAACGAAAAGATGTGAACGTGTGTGGGAAACATTAATTAAAAGTTTTTAACAAAATCCGAGAAAAAAAAAAAAAAAGGAAAAGGGAATTTGAATCTAATTTTTTTTTTCCTTTTTTTCGAGTAGTAATGAAGTCATGCTTTGTCAGTGGCTTACGTCTTACCCATGCTATGCCCCGTCTCTCTGAAACTTGTATTTTACCCAACAAATTTCTCCATTTCGCTCTCTCTCTAACTTTTCTTCTTTAATCCAACAGATTCTCATTCGCCTTAAGACGAATAATTGAAAAATACTACAACTAATAGTACTCAACTTAGGTCAGCGGTCAGGCATGGAAATCGACCGTCTAAAACTGCCCGTTAATTGCACGATTTCAATCTGCCCTAAATTAATCATTTCGGAACCCACATAGACTTTACTCGTAAGCCAAAATCATGATCCCATAGACCTTTATTTTATTAGTGGCATTAAAATTAAAACAATTTATTATAATAATTGAAAACTAGTAGGCATAAAATAATTAAACACAAGATATGTAATGGATCCAAAAAGCACGGCGAGGAATATGCACCGATCTTTATTTGAAGTTTTTATATTCAATTCCCAAAAAACCTAACTCAACATCTGTCACATACAAATACAACAATCACATCTCATGCACGTCTTCTTCACGTTGCTTTCTCTTTCCATTTTTCAAAAATAAAAACCGTAATGTCTAAAGTTAAAGATGTGTGTTGATTTTTTTTGTCTTAGATTAATTGATAATAATTAATTGTTAAAATATTAAATACATGAGGTAAAACTAGCTAAGCTAAGATAGAGGAAAAGGGATTAGTAGTTGTTTAATGGGTCGATGATGTTGTTGAAAGTTTAATGCTGCATGCATTCCGTTCACCAACAATAAACAACTCATTTTCATGGGGGGGGGGGGGGGGGGGACTCTTATCTGTCTTTTTATGCTTTTATTTTTGTTCCTTTTCAACAACTAGGAATGATTTTGTTGTGGAATTATCCCTCATGCATTGCTTTCCCCCGACGTAAAATATGTGGGGATTTTTTTTATTGGGTTTCGTTTTTTATGTATTTTGTGGTTTTGGCTATGGGAGTGATGATGGAGTCTTTTAAATTCAATCAAAGTGGTGCACTTGGTTTTTCTATGCCCCTTTTTAAGCACAATCCATGAGAAAAAAAGGAAGAAGACTCAAAAAAAGGAGACCCTACAATTAGCTGTCTGAAAGCTGAGATAAAAGAAGCGAAAGCGTGACGAAAGTAATCGGTAACGCATGCAGATGGAGGGGGTGGGGGGGAGGGGGAAGTTGAGAATGACAGGGTCCACGTGTGATTTTCAAGGCCCTACGGTATGATTTTACTATATGTCTTAATATCAAACCTCCGCTCCTTTTTCTTGAGGGGTATATATGTTAATGTGTCAACTAAGGACGAGATAAAAACCCAAAGATGAAGAGGTTTTTATACTTTAATGTCTTTAAGTCAATGAATTACGCAAAAGAAAAAAAAATGATAGAAATGTTTCCCACCTTGGGTATCTTTTTGGCTTTTCCTTGCATTGACTATTATTTCCTAGATAATGAGAAATGGGCTATGCTTCTCTAGATTATGGGTAATGATAATGAGAACACAATGGTGTAAAAGATTAATAAATCTGTGCCTAGATACCAGTATGGATAGAAATCATTGATGGAAGAGCAAGGCTAATTTATTTGAGGAGAAATATATCGTCATCATCATCCAAGAGAGAGAACAGTTCTACATCTACGCTAAAATCACTTATAACACTAATCATTGGATATTTTGTCGCATGCCATGTGAGAAAGGAGAAATTTCTTATCCTGGGGTGGCATAGACTAAAAAACCCTAGCTAAGATGAAAATTTTATATGTTACAAAGAGATGCCATATCACCTGGCCGCTGCGAAGAATTTGCCAAATCAATGGCAGCCGAGTTGACCTAATAAATAACTACATGAGGAAGTTTTTTGATTATATAAAATCGAGAGGATGTTTCAGCATGACACATATCCTATATTATATAAACATATTTTATGATGTATTGAAGATTAGATGTATTTTTCTTTTTTTTTAAGGTGAAGAATACAAACAAGCAATAGCTGTAACACCTTGGGTTTTGGCCGATATATAAAAATAAGATACTGTCATAATCTCAACTGGATTACTTCATGGCATGAAGTGCAAGGAAAGAAACAAAATTATATATGCATCAATTTCATGGCATAAGAGTTGACCTATAAATGCTTCAATTAATATATATAATTAATATTAGTACAACAAAACAGAATGTCGAGGATGTCATAAATATCATATATTCCAAGCAAGCTAACATAGTTTTCGATATTTTAAGTGGCAGCTGGCAGAGAGACAAGACATACAAATGATATTTGGAATGCCACAAAGGACAAAAAACGAATTAAGGCCAAATTAATATAACTAACAACGTTTTTAATATATAATAACTAAAAATAGGTTGTGACAAGATCATAGTCTCCTTTCAATATTAGGTGAAATGATGAGAAGAATTGGTTAGTATTTATCAACTCTAGGCATATAATTGGTGAACATGTCTAGGCGTACAAAAAAATCAAAACAAAACAAAACAAGCAGAAGCAAAATATTTCTCAATCTAAAGCAAATAAAAGCTTCATTTTGGCTTATAAATATGGTATGCCTTCTTCCGACCAACAAATTTGATAGAAGACGTAGGGCTCAAACAACAATTTCGGAGCGAAAGGATGCCAAAGTTTTTTAAAAGGCTAATAGGTTGGGAAAGATTAATGCACGTTTCTTTGTTTTTTTTTCATGAATTAATGTACGTTTCTGTCCAGCTATGAAACGCGTTTAGATTTTCTCGGTCAAACATATACCATTTTCCAGTAATTTTTCACTTGGACCGTATTTAAACCTAGCATCTCATCTTATCCTATGATTCCAGAAATTGCGTTGAAGAAGTTGCAATATTCTCCCTCATAACTTGTGCTATTATAATTTTAGAAATTAGCTATAATATTTACGTGCATAGCATGCATGAACATGAAATGCGAAATGCACTTCATCAAGAACTCATGGTACCAATGTCTCATAATTAATTAATTATATTAATTTATATACACAAGATAAGAAACAAATGCAGATTTTTCTTGTTAATTAATCTTGGGAGCAAACTCTTTAAATAGTTCTTAAAAATTTCCAACAAAACAACACACAATTTCTCTTCAAATTCCCCATTTCAGTAAAAAACAAAAAGAGGTCATGTTAAGAAGTAAGCAAGGGATATGTGTTGTTTATTTTGGAAAAAAAAATGAGTTTACTAATAAATTAAAGTAACAATCAAATTTAACGTGCGAAAAAAATGAGTCAATTTGATTGTTAGTTCTGTTTGAATCATATTCATCTTTTAAAAAAAAAAAAAAAAGAACGTACAAAAAAGCATTATGTTTTCCATTACTGACTAGTACATTGAGTGCATATTTGAAACAAAAAATCTAAAACAATAAGATGAAAGTATCTTCTTATGTTGAAACCTGATTCCAATCAATATATAAGAAATTATATATATTAATATGAGGAGGGATCCATTTATATTAGTGTAAGAGTTACAAATTTTTTAACCCTTAGATCCAAATAGCTAAGTGTTATGGATTTAATTTTGATTCAAGAATAAAAAAAATTTGTGACTTTTATACTAATGTAATTATATATTTATTTTGTTAATTATACTAGTTTATTTATCTTATAAAAACCTATAAACTTGAATACATTGTATTGGATGTTAAATCAAGAATCTATAAAATGCTTTTTATGTTCATTCTTGTATGACATATACATGAATGTGACTGTTCAATATGTAATAGAGAATTAATTAGTAAGATTTTTATGTCCGTAGGAGCCCTTTTTTATCTAGAAATTATAATGATTACCAAGCTTCTTTTAACCCTTATTGTGAAAATTTTATGATTTGCTTTGGATGTCTTAGAAGCTATTTACCGATTTCAAGGTCAAATTTTCATTTAGCAGATGAAATTGAGTGACTTTACACACGGATTGTATCTCTTAGGTTTATAAATTATAATGGTAAAGTAGTATGGAAGAAACTTTACTTTAATGTCATTATATATTGGGGAAGAAATAATTGTATTTGATTATGAAGTGTGCATGAAAAGCATTTCTTAAAAAAGGGATGGGGCAAAAATAAAGTGAATATAGCTAACAAATTGAGACACAACAATTATTCAATTGTATAGTGTACCTCGTGCACAAATTATTGTGGCTTAGACTTCATTTTATCCTGATAATTATGACTACCTATAAAACAACTTGAACCACACTCAAAAAAAAAAAAAAAAATGAAAGATAAGCATTTAGTTTGTATTCAAACATGATGCGTGCATGATCTTCCTCAAAAGATATATAGACGGAGGAGTTTCTTTCACTGTAATTTGAATAACATGAGTGTCTTTTGTGCAATCACAAAATTGTAAACAATTATGTTCAGACTAATAAAGACTAGATGCTCTTCTGGTACCTTAATTTGTCTATTATAGGACTAGAAGTATGGATTGTAACCTTAGCTAATCAAAGCTTCAATCAATTACCTATGTCTTAGGCGATTTAATTTCCCCGTTTTCTATCTAAAACAAAATTATTTTCTGTCTACTCCAGGATGACCTTTTTTTTTTTGAATAGTGAGATATTTCCATTCGTATATATTTATTTCTCTCATATGTCAGTCGATTCAATATGAACCGGTAAACCATGTATATAAATTCTAATTAAGTTAAAAGTTTTCAATCCTAAAGTGTTACAATGCACCAATCTGGCAATTTCCCAACAGAACCGGTAAACAATATACATAATTCTTAAGACGATGCCACAACGTAGAATGTTATCTTTGCTTGGTTTTACTGCCTGTATAGTTCATTGTTATCGCATTTCATGAATTCTGCTTGAATTTTGAGGCAATCATATTTGTGTTATGATTTTTTTTTTCTTAGTATATTCTTGCACTACTATAGTTTAATTCAGGTGATTGAGGTGGTTAAAGATTTTGGTAACACTCTTAAATATAAGAGCGGTCTTCCCCTTTTCTACAAAAGAGAAAATGGTTTCATGTCTATTTTTGTAGATAAGTTATATTTCACGAAGTCATTCCACAGTTTTTATAAGTAATGGATATACATATATACATATGTATACAGTGCAAAATACATATCATCCAGATTCCCTGTAACCAGAGATTATGGATTTTAATGCACCATTATTCAGTTACTTACAGTTGATTATTTATATGCTCTTTTTTTTTTTCTATAATTTTAATCATATAAGATTAATGTGCAAGTATGCTAGATCATTGATATGTTACTTTCATATAAGTTTATGGTGTGAAACAGTAAACCCCATTTATAGAAGCAGGAAAGGCAATTCCTCTTCCATACGTTTTTGGGGTTGAGAAAAGAAGGTGGTAGGTAGTTTTCTATATTATCTCCAAACTTCTACAATTGAACCCTACACCTTTAATCCTGTCACCAAGAACATCCATAACTAACTAAAACAGGAAGCTTATAACCATTTTAGAAGACTCATTACCTTGATTAGGAAAACATTAGGGCAATCTTAAGGACGACAGATTATGGGTTAAAAGACTAATGAATATTAGATAAGAAAAGGGCTACCAAAGAAGTATACTACCCACCTAAATTATATGATGCTATCAGACAAGAAAAATGAAAATAAAAACTACAACAGTAAGAGAGATGCATTTAGTTCTGCTGTTTCTGTCATGTCTCTAACACCAACCAAGTCCTATAATCATGTAATGAATTTACTGGATAGAAAGATGACTTAATTTTCTCTTTTTGGCTGGTTTATGCCATCATGCTTTGCCAATCTAAAGCAAGTGAGATGTGCAAAATGAAGTATGGGGCAGCTTATTCTCAACATTGTAGAATTTTAATGGTAAAAGGAGTTGCATTTACGGGTTTTCTTAAATACCTCTGATTCGCTATCCAGTCTCAGCTTGTTAACCAGATACTTCATTAATAACCGCACTGTCATCTTCCCGTCCCTGAAGATTTGAAAAATGATGGCGAAAACACGAAATAAGTTTGCATAGCAGATGAAAACTTCTTATATTTTAGGAGAAAGGAAGTAGAAAGCGATAAATTGGAATAAAACAAAGGGATAAAATATTATTACTTGATTCTCAGGTAGCTCTTTGGTATTTGAGGCAAGAACGGTTCTTTTGCTCTGAAACGTAAAAACCAAGTTAATTTCATCAGAAAGTTAACTCTAATATTTTTAAATACCCCAAAGTGATATGATTAAAAGAGAGATAAAGAGAATTTTCAAGGAAAAACAAAAGTGAGGCTAATATTTTTCCAAGTTCCCTATCTTTTCTTGTGTTCCTTATCTTGTTTTGTACTTACTGATTTTGTGATGCTTGTAGCATAAACCAAATGCCAGAACGGCGTCTTCTAGGAGGATCAATGATTCTAACATCCGAGCTCGGCCCGGCAACATCCATTCCGGAATGCACCTGAAATGGTCTGGCAAAATAGGAGCCCAATGGCACCACAGAAGAAGAAAATGAGGAGGAGGAGGAGGAGGAGGAAGGAGCTACTGCTATATTTTGCGCTATAGGCCTAAATGCCCAGCTAATCTCTCCATGAGGGAAGGTGGAGCTGCTTCCTTGTTGGTGTTGAAAGAATAAAGAAGTACTAAAACTATGCAAAACCGGTGGACGTGGTGGAGCTCGAAACTCAGGCATATGAAAAATAGGGGCTGATGACCTTGCTTGTTGCGAGCTACCAACAGGTAATAGATCAAGCTCGATCAACCCTCCTCTGCTTGCCATTGGATCACCCTGGTCATGCTTGTTGTGATCATACCTTGTTGCTTGACCCCCTATACTGAGTTGGAGCCAACCTTCATCTCTCTCTTCTTGTTCTTGATTGTTATCCTTGGAACTGGAGCCCATCTCATTAAGACTGTTAGTTCTTGATTCATCTTCAGCCATGGGATTAGCACCTAGATCAGATCCTAAGCAAGATTCACTGTTATAGTCATCATAGCCCTGAACACGGTTCATAAGATCAAAACTCTCTGTATAACCGCTACCACAAAAACCATAAAAACCACCGCCGCCTCCGTGAGGAAGATGATGTTGTTTAGAAAGGTTTTCAGCAGGAACCATGGTCATATCCGATACCCAAAAACCCGAACAGCAAGTTTCCACTATAACAAGAAGAAGGAATATGATGATGATAAAGACTCCCCAGCTTAGTCTTCATCTCAACAAAAGCCATGGATGAAAAAAAACTTTTCAATCTGTTGTTTAAATTGGACAGAAGAATCTATGCTAATTGCCATAAGCATATTTTGGAGTTGAGGAATCAAGAAAGCGAGAGACACCCATTAACCAGAGACGAATTGTTGTTGTCTAGTGTTTCATTGTAAACATATCAGAGGACAAGAAGGAGAATAAACGCTGTAAATCTCACTTTCCCTTTATTCTCATCGTTTGGAAGGTTGTGGAGATGAAATAGTTGCAGGAGGGGAGGAGAGAAAGAGGGAGGTGGTGGTCAGTCAGTCAGTTTGATTAAATAATGATAATATTGTATAAATTCTTGGGAGGTCGAACCGTAATAGTTTTTTGACTTTATTAAGACGAAATATATGTTCCACCTTTTTTCTAATGGGAAAATATCAAAGGGTCCCCCAGCAAACACCTTTCGGGCATGTTCAAAGGAGAAAATGACTACAAAGGCTCTTTCTTTTTAAAATATCACAAAAAGGTCCTTTTTAGGCCTAATGGGAGGTTATGGGGAATGTCTACCCATCCCTACAAAAATTAAACTACAAATGGAATGTTTAAAATCAGACCACAGAAAAACCCCATTAGTCTACCTTTTGGCCCCATCAGCTTCACATATGCTTCAAAGATCCCACGGCTCTCATGCTTTTGGATGGTACGGATCATAACCATAATTATTAATTAACAATTAATACTAATGGTAAGAAAGCTAGAATTGCTCATTTGACTAGAACGTACTGCTGTTAATAAAGAGATCTGAATTTATAAAATAAAATCATAGAAGATGTGAATATAAATAATAAAAAAATGATACAATGATTAAGAAAATAGATGAAAAAGTTTTAATAGAAATGTGTGAGATAAGAAAATTTAAAATTTGGTCCTAACATGATTTTTTTTTTCATTTTACCTTTTATATAGTGACCTTAAACTCTAAAGTTATAAGATATAAAATTTAATTTATTATTGTAATTAATACTAATGGTCTATTGCATTCATTCTTAATTCCCAAACCAATCTCATATAAACATTTTCGCCTAAATCTCTCATAGCCATTTAATTTTCCTCAAACAAAATAGTAAATTGCAGCAGCCTAGCTAGGATATCAAAAACATTCACCTTGCAAAGCCTGCTCAATTCTCTTTCTTTGAAAACGAGATATCAAATAGATTGACGAAGAAATAAGTCACATTTGAAGTCTATAGGAGCACATCAAAAAGTTCATATAATATGTTAGACATCACTTGAATTCCAAAATTTAAGTTATTGATTCTTGGATCTTTCATATATATATATATATATATATAAAATATCTCATTCATATCTTCTAATAATGTGAGACTTTTTATTCATATGTAAACTTAATCTCAATAACTTTTCCTATTCACTTGTGAGTTTTAATCAATTCCCACCTCAACTTCACGTGTGAATAAGTTTTAACAACACTCACTTTTGAGCAAAGCAACCTCATGTTTTGGATGGTATTAATACATGTTAGGCCCACCTTAGGTTCAGCATCTAACCTTACCTCTCTTTGGGTCAAGGTTGTTTCAATAGCCTTCAAGTCAAGACTCAGTCATAGCACATAACTTTACTGCTTAGGTTATCTCAGTGCTTCTCAAGCTTGCAACCAATCACAACTTGAACTCAATTTTGCACTATATCATAGATTGACTCAATACATCGTTCACTTGAGTGTTTTATTTCTACATTTTATCATATACTTACTGCAATTTAAGTCAAATTTTCAGCTTTGATACCAGTTTGATAAGGAGATAAGTCACACTTGGAGTCTACGAAAGTATATTAAAGAGTCCATAAATATATATTAGACATCACTTGAGCTCAAAAGTTTAAGCTATTGGATTCTTAGATCCTCCATATATATATATATATAAGACATCTCATTCACGTTTTCTAATGATATAAAATTCTTTACTCAAATGTAAATCTTATTGCAACTAAGATATCTATTGGGAATAATATGAATATACATAGTATTTGTCATATTCTTAACAGGAAAAGAACGAGTTTAAAAACTTGCATGCTAATGTCTAACGCCCTGGAAATGAGACAATTGGAGAGGGCAGAGAAGTGGCAAGGCATAATGAGGTTACCTGTCAAATAAAAGGAAATTAAGAACATTAGAGTATGTTATTAAGAGGTAATTATAAACAAAAAAAAAATGAATGGGGGACTTTTCAATGCATATGATGGTGTTTCCCCATAACCCGAGAATAGTAGCACATCGACGCGGGCTGGGTAGGTGGGACATTCGTTGCTGAAGCATGTGCCCCCTCCCCCCCCTCAACCCTCCCTGCACTTAACTGTACGGGGAGAGCCCTCTCATTTGTTATGTTCTTTCTGTCTCCCATTTATTCTCTATGTATATGCTATGTTTCTTTGTGTTAAAACTTCGAAGAAGTAACTTAATATTTGATTCACAACAATGGCTGCTTTTAGCTGCCTGATCTTTTCCTGAAAAGCTGCTATCTTTCTTTCCAGCCCATCAAACATGCCTTATCCTTCTCTCTTTCTTTCTAATAACAAGAAACAAAGGGACTTTTCAAAGAGGAGTAAATCAACAAAATCTCTTAACTGAATCAGGGATGAGACAATTATACCCCATTTGAAACGTCACTTAATTTTGATTAAATACAATGTTTTTTGTTCAATTAATGTCTTTCTGACTCTATTCAATCCATTGATAAGAAGACTTTAAGTAGGACTTAGGATATTGATCATCGATTTACATTTCGTCAGTCTATAATTTGATTTCTACAGCATAAAATACTTAACGTTTGGCAATTTACTTTTATGGACAAGGGAAGAGAAATGAAGTGTGTCACTGTTACAGGGTTCTAAATAAAGGGAGCAGTAAAAGATGGGAGGCGTGGCCTCCGGATGACAGTAATGACTTGAGCTTGGAACGAAAGCATGAACATGAAAGCTAGGAGCATTGATGGGGATGTCTTTCTACCAAAAATTCGCCATCAAGATACTAGAAAAGTTGACAACCCGATTTCCTCACTCGATTTAAGAGCCCATTTAACACAAAAATCCTTGTTATTATTTCGTACGGTATTAAAAATCAATTGCTTTCGTAATGATTTCATAATTTACAAAATTTCCTTAATATCCCACTCACATATGTTGCACTTTTGTTGAAATAAAATTTTCAATTTTCACTCGATGTGCATGGTTGGGCTTGCCTGGAGGAAGTGGGCTTGAAATGTTATATTTCAATTCACTCGAATGTGACACATACATTTCTTTTTTTTTCCCTTCAATTACCAATTAATATGATCGCAACATTTATTTTTTAAAGAGAGTATGTAAACTCTTCATGTTGTCAATTGCGAATACTGTAACATTATAGCTGTGAATACGTGTACGAAAGTTTTGATGGCGAGGGACTGAGAAGCAGGACGGTACAAACAGAAATATATGAGATGAAAAAACAGCAAGAAAGCTGAAAATCTATGATTATGAATTGGGGCCCCAAAGGATATACTGTCTTCAAAGTATGATGAAAACCCCAACAATAAGGAGCCAAACGACTGAACGTCTTAGCTTTTGTTTTTTTTTTTCCTTTCAGAAGGGAGAAAGATCAATACGAGAGGAGCAAGTACTGGTGTAAACGTAATAATCATGCATGGGATCCTCTCTCTCAAATTAAGACTCTGGAAAGAGAAGAAAGAAAGAAAAAGAGAAAGGGAGATGATTTCAAGGATCAGAGAGTACATGAATTAATTTATTAATTGTTATCGTACTTTAGAGGGGGACCGACTTATTATCACTTTAGCAATGTGCCCTTTACAGAAAGTGAGTGGAGGGGTTCCCCTAATATTTCTCACGCCCACTACATAGTTTTGTGGAGATAAAGGAGCAAAAAGGATTAACAACTTGTCATCATGCCATCATCAATGTCATCATTATCATCCTCATCTTCATCGTCACGTATCCAATATTGCATAAGTCAAAGTGCGACTCTAAGAAGCAAAATTGCAAATTACCATTTACCAACGACCAAAGATGTGAGAGAGAGAGAAATGTGCGTTTGCATGTGCATGTGGGATAATGAGTGACGATGTCAGTCCATGCATGTGGAAAACAAGTGGAGGTTTTATTTGTTGAAACCGAGACAAACAGATGAGAAAGAGATCAGAGAGTGCATAGGGCGGCTTTATCAGGAATTTTCAAGCACGGCTTATCTTGGGCTATGAATGCATGTGAAACTTTGAATACTTTTGCCAGATCCCTTGCTTCCTCCACCTTATATATCTTAGTCAATTATAGCCATCAACAAGCTTGGAAGTTAGAACCCAGCCACGTTGCTGCAGAGGAATTGCTTAAACAATCAGGAATATTTGTTTTTTTATTTATAAAAAATGTAAAGGAGATGGATCCTGTTCAACTTCATAGGGTTTCTTTTGCTCTAGTCTCTTGTAGTTGACCCCCAATGATACAAAAGCATGCAGCCAGTTCTGAATTGTTCCTGATCAGAGCATTGAAAACAAGCATATCCTTCGAAAGTATTACATCTTTAGTATCTTTTTTTCACTAATTAAAGGGAAAAATTATGTGAAAATTGGAAACAATATTTAATTAGGGAAAAGGCCTAACGATGCGTCAATTATATGCTAATCCATATTATCACCAATTCCTTATAACATTGATCAATCAAGTGCCACATGAATGCTTTTCTCACATTTGTCAAATTAAGACATCCTCAATTTGGACAAAAAAAACTTGATGTTGACCCTGGCTTAACTTAGATATCTATATACAGAAGCAACAAGTACATATTTAATACTCTGAAATTAAATCAAATCAGTTTGGCCTGATTGAAAGTTTAATCATTTTATCAAGTTTACAAACTGAGGAATGGAGTCCGTTCGCTCTATTGCAAGTTTTATTTTGTCACGTTTCATCGGCAATGACAAACTCGTGAAACCACATCCTCCTAGAAGCAAAGATGTTGTACTTAGTCGGAACTTAGCTTCTAAAATTGGCAAAGAAAAATATAAGGCAAAAAACAATATATTAATTAGAAAACTAGAAAATGGTCACCATCTAAGTGCTGAAACCTTTTCCTTCATTCCCTTTAAAAGGTAAGTGAAGTGCCACTAACCAAATACGTTATTATTAGGCCACACTGCTCCACCGGCCAAATTTAACTTGATGATATGACATTCGATGTCAAAAAGATATGGAACCTGTCTTAGAAATTAAAATCTATAATTTTGGTCCTCATC